ATAGGGGTCTGAGGGTCAGGTTGTGGGTCAGATGTGGGTCTGAGGCTGCTGTGGGGCCCCTCTGACCGCTCCTTCCCCCTTCCTCCCCCCCATAGCTCTGTCCCTGGCCATGGCACGGGACGGTTCGAGCGGCGGCGTCATCCGCCTGGCGGCCATCACTGAAGCCGGCGTGGAGCGGCGCGTCCTGGCGGGTCCCGAATTGCCGGGCGGCGACGGCGGCCCCGCGTTGTGAGGAAAAGGAAGACCGCCCGTTTTGGGTTGGGGGATTTGGATACAGGAATAATAAATAAACGTTTTTTTCTTCGCACCTCGAGACGCGCTGTGCGACCGCGGCTTCCTCAGCCGCCGTTTTTCGCCTCGCGCCGCCGCCGCTGCCTCAGCGCTGAGGGGAGGAAAAAGGGCGGGAACAAAAAAAGGCGGGAAGGGCGGCGGCGCATGCGCTTCACTGTCGCTTCTGCGCATGCGCCAGGCGGGCGCCCTCGTGCCTCCCTGACACGGCGAGAACTTTTGTTCCCGCCTTTTTTAAGGCGGGAAGGGCGGCGGCGCATGCGCTTTACTGCCGCTTCTGCGCATGCGCATGCTGCCTCCCAAGCTGCGCGTGCATTTTTTTTTTTTGGACTGAGCCTCCATTGCATATCGCGCATGCGTCTTGTCTTCATCTCACATCCGCGCATGCGCCTTGCGATTCAAGAGCACTCCTACGCATGCGCCTCGTCTCCCCCCAGTCTCTGCGCATGCGCCTTGTGCCCCCCCCCAATATGGGGCAATCCAAGCATTTTGGGGGGGGGGGAAGAATTGTGACGTAAATGAATTTATTAATTGATTTTGCTTTAATTAATTCTTTTGTATTACTTAACCCCCAACCCCAACCCCCAACCTTACAACCTCTATGGGGTCGCAGCCCCCAAACCCTATAAGGTCATGGGATCGTGACCCCCGGGGGTCAAAGGTCACGGGGTCAGCCCATCTGGGGGTCAAAGGTCATTTCCAAGGGGTCAGGGGTCAGTCCTATGGGGGTCCAAGGGTCAGCTCGGGGTCAACCCCTATTTGGGGTCAGTCTTACGGGGTCACAGCCCCCAAACCCTATAAGGTCAAGGGGTCGCGACCCCTGGGCTTCAAAGGTCACGGGGTCAGCCCCCTGTGGGTCAAAGGTCATCCCCACGGGGTCAGGGGTCAGCCCCTACGGGGGTCAGATGTTCACCCCAACAGGATGAACCCACTATGGGGTCAGCGCTACGGGGTCGCAGCCCCCAGACCCCATAAGGTCAAGGGGTGGCAGCCCCTGGGGGGTCAAAGGTCACGGGTGTGGGGTCAAAGGTCAGCCCCCCTATAGAGGGGGGTCAGCCCCCAACAGTGCTCATGGTGTCGACCCTGTGGGGTCAGGGGTCAGCCCTATGGGGTCGCAGCCCCCAAACCCTATAAGGTCAAGGGGTGGCCGCCCTTGGGGGGGTCAAAGGTCACGGGTGTGAGGTCATGGGGGGTCAAAGGTCAGCCTCCCTATAGAGCCGGGGGTCAGCTCCACACAGCGCTCATGGGGTCAACCCTATGGGGTCAAGGGTCAGCCCTACGGGGTCGCAGCCCCCAGACCCTATAAGGTCAAGGGGCAGGGGCCCCTGGGGGGTCAAAGGTCACGGGCGTGGGGTCAGAGGTCACGGGCGTGAGGTCAAAGGTCAGTCCCCCTATAAAGCCAGGGCTCAGCCCCACACAGCACTCACAGGGTCAGCCCTATGGGGTCGCGGCCTCCAGACCCTATAAGGTCAAGGGGCGGCCGCCCAAGGTCACGGGGGTGGGGTCAAAGGTCAGGCGCGGAGCACCAGGCGGCGGTAGGCGGCGTTCATCTGCTCGAGGAAGATGAAGGTGAGGACGGTGTGGGGCCCCAGGCGGGCGTAGTACGGGGTGAAGCCCTTCCAGAGGCTGAAGAAACCCTCGTGCCGAATCACCTTCAGCAGCACGTCCTGAGGGGTCAAAGGTCACAGGGTCACTGGGGGTCAGAGGTCACGGGGGGGAGG